CTCCCTCCCCCCGCTCCCATGCAAATTGCGATTTTTTCTAACTCCCGTAATTCTTGGAATTTCGAACAAAATTTTGCAAATACCCCCAGTTAGTTATTATGTGTCCGTATGCCAAGTTTCACTATGATATACCGATTTAACAAGAAGTTATAGCCATAAATATATTTGCTGCTGCAGCGCTGCTCAAGCGCTCCCCGCGACTGTTGTTGATACTGGTGCTTTGGTTGACTGCACACATGTTTACACAGACACGAATAGATGCGCATAGGCATACATACACTCACACAGACGCAATTGCTATGTAAATGTTCAATTATAAACCCTTTACGTGAGTTCGAATACCGAGAAAGGTAAAATCGATCAAAATTTTTTTTTTTAATTTTATTTTTTTTTTTTTATTTTCTATAATTATTGTAAACATATGTACAGAGTATTTTAAAGTCGAACCACCCGACTTTAGCTTTTTTACTTGTTTCTGATTGAAATTGATTTCTGGTCAAATTTGGTAGTCACATTTAGTGATTATATATCCGTATACCAAATTTCATTATGATAGGTTGATCGGAAAGAAAGTTATAGCCATATAACCAGGCCCAATGCACACATACATACATACATATGTACAAGTACACAAACACGCATAGACACGATTCTGGTGAAAATGTAAATGTATGTATGCATGTATGGAATATTTTATATTTAATTTAGTTAATTAATTAAATTAATTTAGGTAATTACTTAAATTAATTTAATTAATTAATTAAATTATTTTAGTTAATTAATTAAATTAATTTAGTTAATTAATTAATTAAATTTCTTTTTTGTGGGGTGGTACAGAGTATTTAAGAGTTGAGCCTGCTCGACTTTAGCATTCCTTTCTTGTTTAGTTTAAGGTTGGTATTATGGTACTATTGGCCGGTCGGCTCAATAAAAGGACATAATTACGACTTGCGCCGGAGCTGTTGCCTTATTATCACGTTAGTGCTCGAATAAATTGTAAGAACTACATAATAACAAAATTGAAATCGAACCTTAAGCTAAATTCTAATGCTTACAGCTTGGCGTTGGCGTCGCTGCCATTGATCACCAAAAACTGCACTTCTTTCGCCTCCTAGGGTCGTCCTTCGTAAGAATGCAACGTGAGCATTCTCTTTCCGGACTCCGCAGTGGTGACTGGGTTAATAGAATTTGGCAACAGACCTAGTTCTTGCCCGGGAGCAAGAACCCAGTGTTCGTTTTCCATGCGCGTTGCTTAGTGCTAACTGCTCTCCCCTTCAAGTGAAGGCCGTCCTCGGTCTTGGATAGGCCAGCTCAGGGTTTTCGAAGTTTTACCATTCTGGGCGTTTCCTTAAGGCGGAGTAGCAAGAGCACCACTGTTCCAATGACCAAAAGGATCGCAAAGCTTAGTTTATATAGTCAATAGCCTCTCAAAGTCTGGAGTGTAATAACGTGCCACATGAGTCTTCCATTCATCAATGGCCGTTGCGCCCGTGTCGCATGTCACCAGATTGTTCTTCTATAGATGGTGACGCCGTTGTGATATGCCTTGTTAAATTTTTAACTTAAGTTCAGGGTACTTAATTAAGAAATGAATAATTTTGTTTTCTATGACTACTTTTACATTGGCCATTTCCATCAACTCGTTGGCGCAACATTTGCAATATGGAGCTCAAACTGAATTTAAGTCTTGGGAATCTAATATAGTGGGGTTTATAACATTAATCTTTGCCAAAGTGGTATATGAAAATGTATTATTGATTTCTGGATTTAAAATTCTGCTTCCGAGTTTCCAAGTTTCATATCGACGTGTTCTATTCTCTTGTCCTTAAGAATTGCATTTAGCGTTGTATTCAGGCTAATGTTTTAATACCAATTTGCTTTTTAAAGTAAATGTAAAAGATAGGCAATGAGCATGTTGCGTGTTTACCTTAGGCTGCCCTTGTGGACCACCCTCCCCTTATGAGAACTGTGGGTCGCAAGTCTGCTTTTATAATTTCTCTCGTGCCGTTCTCGCCTCCTTTCTTATCTATAGGCCAGGGCGGGTTTTTATTTTTAAATAACGATTGATTTATCCCTGTGTCCAGAGTGTCTCTGACTTGTGCTAAATCACAATTGTAATGCGACAATTTAAAATCCATTTCGGTTACGTTATCATAGTTGGCTCAACCCTGGTCGGAACCTCCCTGGGTCATGTTATTAATATTTTGGCGTCTCTGTCCGGACATACTTTCAGAAGTTTTCTGTCGCCTGAAACTCTCATTGTTATTTACTAGGGTACCTAGACTTTTTAAGTAATTTGTATGCAGTCGAAATTTCGACGAAGATGGATCTACATCCATTGGTTCTACTCATCCTCGGTATTGTCCGGAGGAAAAGGGGGAAGAAATTTTCATCAAGGCTTCTTGCATAGTTAGCTGCAAAGGTGTAGTGCTCATGGTTTGATTCAACTTCCTGAGCCAAACTGCAGATGGCAAATCGGATGGACGAGCTGCAAACACAACGTCACAACGTGTAAGGCTTCTTTTCAAGTATGAAATAAAAACACGGATAGCATCGTCTCGATATTTTTCGTTCATGCAGTGGGCCACTGCCTTGTCGTATGTCATGACCGTTTTGCTTGTGAGGAGAGTAAGTTTTTTCTCAATCTCTTCATAGTATTGGAGTGTTGTCATGTTGCCTTGACGCAAGCATGATAGCTCCTATTCTAAAGTCTAATCTGTTTAATTATGACAGCCTGATAAAGCCTAGAGATCTCTTCGTATGGTTTGTATATTTTATACACTGCTTCTGCCGCCTGACGCCCGTAGACATACTTAGCTGGCGTACCGTCAAATTCTGACAGTACGTTTACTGCATCAAGTGGTTCAACGCACGTTGAATTCGTAATTTCTAACACTTTGCATACCTCTACACAAGGCACTTTAGCAGTTTTATTAAAAGAGGCGGCTGAATGGTCGATCTGTAACCTGAACTGCTCATTCTGTACGTTAAGGGCTGCCTGAAATTCTTGTTTAGTCCAATCTAGCTCATAAAGTGCTGATAAAGCTTTAGCGACTACCGCATCTATGATGGCCCTAATGTCATCTTTGTTCATTTTGTTCTGTCTCTGTTCTTTCCTGCTACTTATACCGTGCGTGACTAACAATTCTTCACTTTCAGGCGTGCGTGTGTTAGAAGGCATTTATTAAAGAGTGAAAAAAACTAGAAGAGGCACCAATAATACTAAATTGTTTTCTGATCACAGCCCACAAGATCTCTCTTACAGTGAAAGAGCACTTACAAGGGATTTTGGAAAATTCGAGCTCCAAAGAGGGGAAACGGGCTACAATTTTCAACTTACTACAATTTTAACTTCAAACTTGATTTTATACTCTCATAAAGAATACAAGTAAATCTGCATGCTTGGTTTTTCGCTATTTTCCCGTGGAGAATTCGGTACACGAAAAGCTATGTGCAATCAACGCACATCCCAAATGGTAAGAGCTAGGAAACTTGGCGTAGGTGAGCACTAAGAAGCGATTTTGGAAAATTCGAACGCCAAAGGGGGAAAACGGTTTCCAAAGATTGTATGATAAATCTGCAATTTTTATTTTATTGGCTTCAAACTTGGTTTGTGTAATTTATAAAAGAATTCAAAAAACGCTGCATACTTGATTTTTCACCATTTTTCCTGGGGCATGAAAAAGAGGTAAGAGCTAGGAAATTTGAATTTTGAGCTGATTTCGAGCTCCAAGTGGGGGAAAATGAGCTCCAAAGTTTGTGGTAAAAATCCGCATTTTCCACCAAACAAGTTCAAATATGCAACTATGCAAAAAAACTGCATACCCGGTTTTTCGTTGTGTTGATGCTTGAATTATTGGGGTTTTAATATGAAAATTTTAAATTTAATATGAAAAGTTTGTGTTATAAATTTTGTCTGATCGCTTTCAAATTTGGGTAATGTAATCTAGGTAACTTTGCATTCAAGGATTTTCAAAATATATAAATACGGGTTTCGCTTTACAAATGCAGGCAGAACAAACAACATAAAATCCATATCAAACAGTTAGTATACATACATACACACACACACACACACACACATACATACAAGCAGCTGTTCATGTAGTTGCGTGCAAACGATTGAAATATCCAAAGCAAAATGTGAGACACTAATGCGTGGATGTATGTACGAGCCCCGACCACTATTAATTCGTACGGCATGCTTTTTTTCCCCCTATGCAATGTTCAATAGACGATATTTTCAATACTAATGAAGATAACACGTAAACATATTTTTTCTGAAAGATCATTTTATTCTCTTAACTTTAGAAAAAAAACTTTTGTTGTACTTCCAACCACAACAACAATAACATTTATTTAGTTTGGTGCTTTGCGTAACTGATGAGAAAAGTGTGACCACTGTTAATGCGTACGCTGAACATGCTTAGTTTAGAATTGAAAGTACATCAAAACAAAAGCAAACAGTGTCACTTAATCACTATCTAGTCATAATGTAAAAATGGTAACATAATGCAGAATGTAAAAAATGTGTACTTATTTAAAGTTAATCAAAGGTACTTGAACCAAGTGTAATTCGGAGGAGCTGAAAGAGAATGTGAGATCAGAAGAGCACGAGTGTTCTTGTGGTTCTGTCTGTTTATTGATTGAAATGCAAGGGTTTATATACAAAATTGAGAATGTGCGTAGGTCTAATTATTACTAATAAGTGATTCTTAAAATAAATCGTTGCTGGGGTGTTATATGCAGCTAGCTGAGTCCAGCGTAGGTGTAGGTAGACGTGGCAGCCGGTTGGTGGTTGTGTTGTGCACATGCGCGGCCGATATTCTAACAATATAGCAAAGAATAGCTGCCTGCGTTAGCTTCATATGCACATGCGGGGCCCATGCGTAGCTCATGATATGGTCAAGAGCGTGTGACATTGACAATACGATGAACTTCAGCGATGTGGGACATATATGAACACCAACACACACGAATAACCAACTTTAATCTTTCAGAAAACTTCAAACTCGTATTTCGTATGATTTACTCACAGAACTGGCCAATTGCGTTCTTAACGACAGCATTTTTGATATAGTCAAGGCACTTATGGATTTACAGCATGTTACGGAAAAGCACCTTATACAAATGCGTGCACAGGTAGAAAACGAATATGAAATCGAGGTTGCTAACTGGTGTGAAAAAATTAAAGATGCTGAGGAATTACAACATATTTTGGGATTATTGAAAATTAAACATCGAAAGAAACTATTGGAGACGGATAAGAAAATTGTTGAGGCTCTCGATCAGAAAGTAAGTCATTTTGTCACCTGCATCTAAAGAAGTGGCCTATATAATATAATTTATTATTTTAGGTTTACGATCAACAGTCCACATTGCAAAAGGCAGGCGTACCTGGCTTCTATGCAACACAAAGTCTGAAAGAGATCAAAGTGCAAATGTTTTTGCTAGATTTTATTTTACGTTTAAGTCGTGTTAAATATGAATCTACTAATAAGTAGCGAAAGCACCAATGTCTACCAAAAACAAGTAAAAAAACTAAAGTCGGGTGTCCCGACTTTGAAATACTCTGTACATATGTTTACAATAATTAGAGAAATTAAAAAAAGTAAGAGAATTAAAAAAAAAAAATTCCGATCAATTTTACCTCTTTTGGTATTCAAACTCACGTAAAGGGTGCAGTCAACCAAAGCACCAGAATCAACAACAGCCGCGGGTAGCTCTTGGGCAGCGCTTCAGCAGCAACTATATTTATGCTCACTTTGGTCCGATAAAGGCCGAAATTGAGGAATACAAAGCCTTTGGATATGCCATCACCAGTGATATGGTTATATGGACAGATAATTATTTAAAAGCTTCGTATTTGTCATATACAATTCATTATATGAAGGAGGGAGTTCCTCTGTTGCACAAAACAAGCTGCAAAATATATTGCATTCCAGCGAGTAGCGCGGCTTCGGAACGCACAACGCTAGAAATTTAGTAACAGAAAAGCGTTGATTATTCTATTCCACCAATCCTGACAAAATTAACCAGATAATGTTTTAAATTCTAATATAAAACATGTAAAAAAGCTAAAGTCGCGTATCCCGACATTGAAATACTCTGTACATATGTGTAGAATAATTATGCGTGCATGTGTGTGTTTTTGTATGCCTCGATAGCCTGGGCAAAGCAAGTAACAACAACAACAGCTGCCGGCACTGCTTGGTGTCATGTACATATATGGCTATAACTTCCTTTTAAATCGGCCTATCATAGTGAAACTTAGCATACGGACACATAATCACTAACAGGGGGTATTTGAAAAATTTGAGTTAGCCATGTCCGTCCGTCTGACCGTCTGTCTGTATGAACGCAAGGATCTCAGAAAGTATAAGAGCTAGAACAACCAAACTTGGTATTCAGATTCTCCTAGGACCGAGAAAGTACGAGTTTGTGTTTTTTTTTTTCTGATACACCTCTCCACTCCCCCGCAATTCATGTTTTTCATAACTCCTGGAATTTTGAACTTAAATTTGGCAAAAACTTCCAGTTAGTGATTATCTGTCCGTATGTTAAGTTTCATCATGATTGGTAAATTCTGAAGAAATGTCAGGTTCTTTAGTTGTATGCATTTCTTCAGTTTATTTACATACAAGTTATTAATCAAACAAAATATATAAGAGAACTTAAAATAAGAATAACTTCCGCAATGCTGTGCTCTTGTCTATGCACACGTCTGCTCTCTTCGACGACTCAAACGATACTCCCCCTCTCATAAATAAAACCGCTGCCCATGCGCTGCCTGCAGCTCTGCCCGCAGCTGTTGTTGTTGCTTCTTTGGTTCAAATTTGTGCTGCATACACATACGCATATAAAGACGCAGAGACACGATTCTGATGTAAATTTATTCTATTGAAATTGAGTATTGTGTTGAATATTTTATATTTAATTTCATTAATTAATTAAATATTTTTAAATATTTTTTATTTTCTTTTTTGAGGAGAGTACAGGGTATTGTACTGTCAGGCTTGCTCGACTGTAGCGTTCTATCTTGTTCTTTCTTTTTTTCCGGGTTGCCATTCGAATCATTCGAGAACTAAGTCTAAATTTTTCGTATTCTCACTCCATTCAATTCGTTTTTCTACGTTTCGACTGAGTGCGACTGAGTTGTACGTGTGTATACTCATTCATTCATATCAGTTTGCCTTTGCATTCTAATTCACTCAACTCATTTTGAGCATTGTAGAGTCGAATGAATCAGAATCGTGCCTATGCGTGTTTGTATGTATACTTGTACATATTGTAGGAGACCGATATATGGGGTATTTATGTAGGTGTGTGTGTGTATATTTGTATGTGTGTTTGTAACAAATTCGACACTTTAATGTTTCCTGCACAGTTTATTTTATTCACATGCGTTCGGTTAGCCTATTCACGCACGACTGACTGTCGATGCGCTTACAAAAGAGATCGACAGTCAGACAGATCTTAGCCTAAGAAAAGAGTTTAGCAGTGTGTACACACAGGATATTATATCAAGAAGTAATAATCGATAATATGCTACAATTCGGCCTTCCTGACCTCTAAGATCCCCTGATCTTTAATGTGGTTTTGTTAAATGCCTAGACATACTAGACTTTAATAATACAATTATTATTATTATTGTTATTTATTTTTTTTTTTGTGAACTTATTTGTCAATTTGATTAGTTACTTATTATTTCTATATTTAAGATTTACATGAATTTATTTACTTATTTATTTATCTTTTCCTATCCAATACTTAATATTTTGGCCACTCCAAACTCCTTGATAAGGGTTACGTGACAGTTGAAATCCTTCCACGTCTTTTATTAAATATCGATCATTTCTTAAGACCTTCTGAATTACATAAGGCCCTTTGTGCTTAGATATTAACTTTCTCGAAATTCCCGCCGTACTATCAAAATTTTTGACCATTATGTAATCCCCTTCTTTGTATACAGTTTGTTCGGAGCAGAACAATTGATTTAATGTAAAGTAAATGTAAATGCCTGGTGGCTTATGTTTGTTTTAGTTCTTGTTAGAAATTATGTTATCTTCATCTTGCTTAGCTGTCTCTCTTAAAGAACAATCCGCTCTGGCTCTCACTTGCAGACAGAGCTTTTATATGCAGACAGAGCTTTTATATGCAGACGAGCTTTTTTCTAACGCTGCAGACGCACATTGACTGCAGCCAGGTTCTTGTTCAAACACTCCAATTCTAGACACGCTACAATAAAGTTAAGTTTAATTGAATTCGTCCCGTGTTTTTTATTAAATATAACTGATCAGGTGATATATTCGATATCTCCTCTAAACATATTGGTGACCCCGACGTGATGTAGAATTGGTCGTGGTTATGTAAAATTGTTTCATATCGTTGTAACAATTTAGCTGTTTGTGCATAATTCGATGCAAAACACATAATTTTCGGTCGCTTTACAGCATACATACAAACACACAAACAATACCACAGCACTCGTCGGCGTGTAGTTTGGTGGTTGAAATAAGTGCCGCTGCGTGAACAGTTATACGCATACATACTTGTGCCTACATTCGTGCATAGGCAGTCTCGCCCGCGCCAATATTTCTTTGCATTCTTTTCACTCGCGCTTCTTCATAAAGGGTGCTTTGTCGTGTGCTTTGCATGTATCATAATTACGGTTATATTTTCTGTGGTGAAAATTAACTCTCGAAATGGTAGATAATCAAAAAAATATGGACGCGTCAGTTGACTTTTTTAAAGCCAAAGTGGAGGCAATAAATCGGCAAGTTGCTTCATTAAATTCGGGCTTGCACGCTGAAGCATTAAGCAGCTTTGATGAAGCTGATTTAACGGCTCGAGTAGAGTTTCTGGAGAGCATTAATGTGGACTTCAACGCAACGCAGACAACATTGGAAATGCTTGACTTAATGGAATTGGCAGGTGATGCGCGTATGAATTTTGCCAGCGCATATCTCGCGGTCAAAGCTAAGTTGTCTCGGGAGCTAGCTATGCACAGAAGGCAACAAGATGCGCATTCTACTTCTGTTGCTCAAAACTTTGCAGAGGAGTCAACAAGCAACACAACGTCGCGGAAAACAAGGTTGCCAAATCTGCAACTGCCTCGTTTTGCCGGTGCATACTCAGTGGCCGGATTTCTTTGCCATTTTTGCTACAATCGTCGACAACGATCACGAGCTAAGTAATATTGAAAAGTTTCAGTACCTCCGAGCCACTTTGGATGGGGCTGCGCTTGAAACAATTCGTTCGCTCGAACCATCTGACGCGAACTACAAAAAGGCTATGGAGCTGCTTAAAAATCGCTTTGATAACAAGCTTTTGCATTTTCAGGCACACATAAGAGCAATATTTGGGTTGAAAGGTGTCGAGAAGGGAGCTGCGTCGAGTCTGCGAGAACTAAGCGGCAAAGTAAATTCTCACTTAAGGGCACTGAGAACACTGGCTTCCTCTGAAGAGATACTGCTGATGCATATTGTGAACCATAAAGAGGACCAAAAAACTCGCGAAAAATGCTGCCAACTCTCCGCTGTGTTTTTTTTTGTGAAGGGAAAGATCATTATTTATCCAAATGCAATCGGTTTCTTAATCTTAGCCCCGCTCTAAGATATAAGGAAGCCAAGAAGTTGCATCTCTGCCTTAATTGTCTACGCAAGGGCCATGGTCTACAACAATGCAAATCGAGCCACTGCAAGCATTGTCGCATGACGCTTCATACTTTGCTACATCTTACTTCAGGCCATGCTGCATCGAATGCCAGCATAACACAGCCAATAAACGAGCAAAGTACTCAGCCAGCTTCATCTGCACTTGTCTCATGTTTCAATATGCCGATTTCGCACCCTCCACCTAAATCCTCAAACATATTGCATCATGATTACGTGTTGCTCGCAACTGCCATAGTCTATGTGCGCAATCGAGCTGGCATCTTTATACCTTGTCGTGCCATACTTGATTCAGCATCGCAACTTAATTTTATTACAACGCGTCTTGCTGGTCAATTGAAACTTCATTCTCGTCAGTCACATATTTCAATATCTGGTATTGGAGAATCAACGTTGGATTCTGATAGATCAGTAGACGTTGTCGTGCAATCACAGGATGCGAGCTATCGTGCTTCATTCTCAGCTGTTATCACGGGCACTATAACTGATCACCAGCCACACTTCGATATTAATGCAACTGAGTGGAATGTTCCTAAGGACATTTCCTTGGCTGACCCGTTTTTTTATAAATCGCAACGTATTGACATTTTGATTGGAGCTGGTCTTTTTTTTGATATGATTTGCAATGGCCAAATTCGGATGGCCAATAATTTGCCAACGCTTCAACAAACCAAACTTGGTTGGGTTATATCTGGAGGCTACTCGAGCTCATCTTGTAAACATTCAGTTCTCACATCGCTCGTCAAATCTCAAAGTAGTCGGTCTCAGGAAAGCTCACTCAACGATCTGGTCAAACGCTTTTGGGAGATAGAGAACTGCTTCGACTCATCGCCATCGATGTTGCTATTTAAAAAGAATTATCAGCGCCTGGATAACGGCCAATATTCTGTTCGACTTCTCCCAAACTCTGACTTTAAAGCACTTGGAGACTCCTATTCTCGCGCTCTTCGACGTTTTAAAGGCTTGGAGA